TCAGAAACCTGGTGGCTGTTTGACATTACCAGACCTCAGATGGTCAGCAGTGGTCTGGAGAGCCCTTGCATGGTGGAATCACCGCTTAGGCTTCAGTGCGAAAATCCCGCAACTCTAGCTGTCAGGTCAGCAACCACAGAACCTACTCAGAAGATGAGGGCCACGGGGTCACAGCCTCCTTAACGCCAGGTCAATGAGAGAAAGTCTCCTTGGATGTGCTTGAAGTCTAGAGAGAGGCTCTAACTGTGTTTTCTCCACTGTGTATCTTTACGGTGGTGTTAATGATGTTGATCAGAAGCCCAGGGAATAAAATGTGAAAATCGAAAGTCAATATATTGAGCACCTCACTTTGTTCTGGGCATGAAATCTCGTATTTTACTTAGATTATCTCATTAAATACTGTCTCCCTGGGAGGGAGAAAATGGAGGCTGCAAGAGAGTAAACACTTTGCTCAAATCGATGCAGCCAGCATGGGTCAGAGCTGGAAGGCAGACCCAGGTCTGTCTGATGCGAGATCCTGCTCCTTTGTGCCCTGCCACCTTGTTCTCTCTCCTCTGCCCGCGATGGTGGGAGAGCAGAGCATCATCCTGGTCTGTGGGCTCCAGACATTTGAGTAGGTAACAGCAGATGAATTTATGAACAAGTTTATTTTACACGGAAACTGTAACAAAGCAGATGGTGCTTTGAAGCGTCTGCCTTTGGACAGCATTTGGAGACTAATCTTGGGACCACAGCACCTCTAAGAGGGAGACTCACTGCGTGAAGAATAAGGAGGCAGCTTCCCTGTCTCCTCTGATCCCACCCCTCCATCCCCAAACTGTGAGTGTTCCAGTGAAGGCTTGGCAGGGCTTCTTCCAAACTGTCTGAAATCCTTTGTTCTTTGTGACTATGACTACTGGCTACTTCTGGTCTCTTTTTCTACAATTTCTTCTTGACAAATCATCATTATTCACCCTGGGCCCAGGGCTTGTCTCCTCTAGGAAACAGGTCCTGTTTACCCCTCTGAGCTTGGCTTGCTCCTCCTTTATAGTTTTTATGACGTGATCATGGACTTTAGCTGCCTGCTCACTCTCTATGCCAGGCACAGCATTAGTTCATTCATTTCATCTCCACAATACTCATTCATTCATTCATGAAATATTTATTAAGCATCCACTGTGTTTCAAGAACTGTACTAACCTCCAGGGACCTAAGGGTTATTAGCCAACACAGATTTTTTTCCCTCATGGGGTTTACAAGGGGGATAGAAGTTAACCAAAGAATCCCAGAAATACATAAGTACAAGATGAAATTAGTGCTTTGAAGGAAAAAAAAAATACAGTGTTAGGAAAGTACACAGCAGAGGGTATCAGGAAAGGCTGTGCCCAGGAAGTGAAATCAGAGCTGAGATCTAGTGCGTACGTAACAGTCAAATGAGTGTGTGTGTGTCTGTGTGTGACGGTGGTGGTGGTGGACGGGTAGCAAGATGGGGGATGGGGTGGAGCAGGAAGCAGGAAGCAAGGTTCCTCGGCAGGTGGTGGTGTAGTCCTTCTTGGGGACTAAAGGCCAGTGTGGATGGAGCAGAGAGGTGAGGGGAGCAGTGGTGCAAGACACAGCAGGAAAGTCACCAGGGACGAGACTGTGGGTCCTAGAGGTCCCTGGAGATATTCTGGTCTTGACCTAAGGGAAACGTGAGGACATTGGAGTTCAAAGCAATGTCATGAGCAGACTTAAGACAGGCACCATGAGGCATAGAAGCAGCATAGAAGCAGAGGCTTGGACGGCTTGGGGAACGCCCCCAGACTTCACTCACACCGCCAGTGAGTGGCTCGGTGAGGGCTTAAACCCAGGTCAAGTGATGCCCATACTTTTTACTCTTAAATATTCAGTGAGTCCATGTTGATGTGTTTACTGTCTCTTACTTCGTAAGTCTGAAAAGGAAGCATCTACTTCTGGAGTCTAAACAGAATTGATGGGAGCTAACATTATTAAACTCCTACTGTGTACCAGGTGTTATCTTATTTAGTCACAGACATCCTATAAGGGCAGGCCTTGCATCCTTATTTTCCAGATGAGAAAACAGAGGTTCAGAGACTGTGAGGTGCCCTGTGGTTACAAAGCAGAGGAGATGGGCAGGTGGTGACATCGTTCACTCCTAGCATCCCCTGTGCTCTCACATCCTTTGTTCTCTTTCCTGAGGATAATACCCGGCACGATGCCCTGAATCCGAACACAGGTGGGATCAGGGATTTGCTTTTTCTACTTTATGGTTTAAGGAGAAAAAGATATTTCACAAAGCCCCAGTTCATTCAAGGAATTATACTAAATCTCCAAAGCACTGCCTTACACATTCTAAATCAAGAGCTTGGCTTTTAAAATGGGAACCTAGTCCCTTTGCAAAAAAAAAAAAAAAGTAAGTATGATTTATCACTCCAATCTTACAGTCTATGTTAACGCAGACATTTCACTCCTGGGAATGAATAGTCCTGTTTGCCTCGAAGCAGACTGTAAACGTTTGATTCGTGACCAGATGACTTGACTTTTAATGGCCTGCAACTGACTAAAATAAGCCCCCAAACTTATGACTACCACCAGGCAGTTAGACTTCATTCCTCAGTACCCCAGTACCTTTCTAGATTTCTCTGGGGTTGTTTTTCCCATCTGTTGACTTCAGAAAAACCTTCTAACATAAAACTGTGGGACCTGCACAATGGGGAGTTGTTAAATTTTAAATTGTAGACACCCAGATGGTAACCTCAAGAAGGATCCAGTATACTACTTATTGCAAAGTAAATACAGGTCATCCTTGTTTCATCAGCAGATGGTTAACTGTAGACTCTGAGTTGAGGGCAAGGCACCACCCCAGCGATGAAGCCCAGGCAGGCTCTGCTGGGCAGGGTTTGCTGCATCTTTGATAGAACAGGGCTTCCCCTGATCAACGCCATCTCCTGCCGCATCAAAGCCATGCTGTTTGGATAATGTTTCCAGCTCCAGCCAGTGAGTTCAGCATGGTGATTCTCCCTCAAGGATGGGGAAGATGCAGATGGAGAGCCTAATTGTCTGAATAAATCTAAGGAGCTGGGATCCAGGCCTGAACTCTGTTCTGGAAAGGCCTAAGAATCCGAGTACAGATGAATAATGAAACCAAGGTGACCCTGGGTGTGAGGGCAGAGGTGGGCAGAGCTGCCAGACTCCTGCAGGACACTTCCATCTGCTACGGAGTCTCGCTGGGTGGTGCACCCTGAGGGGCAGCTGAGCTGCTGAGGGTGGCCCCATGGCATATGGGACCCTGGAAACACATGCTAAGTGGAGGTGTCTGGTAGCTCTCTCCTCTTAAGGAGCCTGGGGGAAACTGGAAGAAGAAAAGGCTGATTCCACAGAGGAGGAACCATATTCTGGCAAAGCCAGAGGGACCATGCAGGGAAGTGGCACAGACCTGAGGATGTGGAAGAGCCAGACAGCTGCAGGGTGGAGACAAGGCGTTCCAGAAGTCGTCTGCAGGGGCCGGCCAGGGACTGAGAACGCGGCCTGCAGGGCATTCAGACAAGTGGAGCCCACCCCAGAATGAAGGCTGTTTCCCTAATGCTCTGACATTTACATGGTTTTTCGTGCTAATTTCTCTGTCCACTCTCTTCTGAAGAGGAAAGAACCCACTCTAAGGGCCCATTTGGCTAGAAAAGCAGCCCCTTGTATCCTGCTCTAAGACTGGAAAACGCCAAAGCCTTCTGCTGAGATCCTTGTGTTCTGGGTCACGATTAGTGGGAAGGGGTGAGGTCTTTCCTCTGAAACAGGCCGGTGAACACCACATTACAAAAACTGTGATGACTACCAGTTCCTGAGTGTTTACACTGACTGTGCTGTGTGCTTTATGAAACTGAGGTGGGAAGCCCCATAAAAAAGACTGGCAGGGCCACTACTCTCCTGTCAGCACTATCCAGTTCCCTGGCCCAGAGGCTCTATCTCACTTTTTGCCTCTGAAAGGGCTTACTTCTAAACAAGTGGAACTTAATCCTAAAATGCTGTTGGTTCCCTGAGCTCACTCCTGATTGGTCCATTTCTACAAAGCTTGTTCCTAATTAGTTTCAACTTTTGTTATACCTTATTTGCATATGATGTTGCAAAGTGTAAACTGGCAGCCTATAAAAGCCCGTGTAAATCTGCAGACGGGGTCCAGAGCTTGGAGTGTTGACTCCTCTGGGCCCGCGGCGTAATAAACCTGAGTTCTCCAACTCTCTGAGTGCTGCTTGGTCTCTCCCCCGGATCCAGGTTGCTGTTACAACTGAGCTGTAACACATTTTTCTACAACAAGACATACTCATTTCATCCTCATAAATGCCTTAAGGGGAGAGGTCATTATTATTCTTTTGTAAGGAAATCAGAGTAAGGAGGTGTTTAAAACTTGCTTACGGTCACACAGGATTGTGAACACAGGATTGACTCCAGCTCAACTACCCCTGAAGCACAAGGAAGTGGTAAACTGTGGTCCAGAGAAAGTGTGAGCTCTCACGCCGGCTCACCTGCCCTCCCTGTGTGTCAGTTACCATAATATGGAACAGTTCCCAAAATATCGAGACAGGGGGCGCTGCCTGTCTCTGGCAGGATAAGCAGAGTTTTAGTTGTATTCTTCAATCAGTGTTAATTCGGGCGGTAAATACATTTTTGGTTCCCTATTAGACCCTACAGGATGCTCAACTTTCATGAAAATTCCCAGTAGCAGTTTTACTGCTAATGTACTAACCATGCTTCTCAAAGTGTGGTCCCCGGACCAGCAGCAGCAGCACCATCACCTGCAGACCAGCAGGAACTGCAAATGTTCAAGCCCCACTTCGGCCCTGCTGAATCAGAAACCCCTGGGATGAGACCCAGCGGTCTGTGTTAACCAGCTCTGCACAGTAACATCTGAGTCACTCCTCTAAGGAATTTGGAGGTAGCACAAATGGAATTACTGTTTTTTCACCTGGAACAACATTGACTACAGCATTTTTTTTCATCCTCTTTGTTCTTTAAAAAAATATTTTTACCTCATCTCCAAATCTTCATTCTCTTGTGGGATAAATTTGTACAAGGCAACATAGGTGTTCATCTGTAACGGGTCTTTGCAAAGAGGTCCCTGAAAGAGAAGATAAAAGTGAGAGAAGGAAGGAGGAAGACATGGAGAGAAGAAAGAAAATAGGAAATGGAGAAGCTACATGTAATTCTAGGGAGTGGATCTTGTGTTAAAATATCTAACCGTTGTCAAAGACTTCATTTTTCATTTCCTAGCTGAGTTTGATCTCATTACAAACCATATGAAAATACTGCTGTAGAACTCTTTGTCAGAAATCCTAAATATTTTCATCAAAGCCATTTTTTGATACAGTTGTTCATGAAAGGTGATAACAGGCTTGGGCCCAGGCAAGAGAACATTCCCTCTATAGACAGGAGCCATGTGAATAGTAGCAAACAGCTTCCAATTCCTAAAATGGACTTTTTATCAGTTACCTTAAAGTTTGGTGTCTAGTATATCAAAGGGACCCAGATATTTTCATCTGGCAACGAGTTCATTCCAGGAAAGAGCATAGATTTTGGCATCAGACTGACTTAGTATATATCATGGTACCACCATCTACTGGCTATGAAACCTTGCAGTAATAAAGATAAAAGCTGCCATTTTCAATAGCTGACTGTGTGCCAGGCCTTACAGTACCTGCATTAGCATACTCCAACCTGGCAACAGCACCTGGGAGGTAGATTGTGTCCCCAATTTGTAGACTATACAATAGCCTTATAAGTGTTATACAAATATTAGTTGTTAATTATTAACTACATAAATGTTAATGTTATTTAAGTGTTTAGACTTTAGAATATACATAATAAATTTAAGATTCTACAATATATAACGTATTATATACTATATCATTACATATGTATACATTACATATGTAAATATAATTGTACAGTATATTGAAATACATGATAATATAATAAATGTATGCCATGTATAGAAGACCTAAACCAAACTTGCAGACAGCTGTTTTCTTTTCATCTATGATTTGCTCGGCTATCCAAGCTCAATATTATTCTGTTCTATTTATATATGTATATTTACATAAAATATAGTAGTATGTACTTAGATGCTATAGTATGTAAGTACTATGTAAATAAGTCATGATATATGATTATATAATTTACACACTATAGAGCGTATATCAACTTGGATGTAACATACGTAACAGAAACAAAAGTGCACAGTATAATATTTATCCTTTTTACCTTGGATGCACTGTGATATTTCTATTTGACTCCAAGCTACCTTTGCTATGGTATGTTACGCTTAATTACTCTCATCTCTGAAAATGCTAGTCTGGGATCCACTAAACTGATTTCATGACCCACTTGGGTGGTGACCTACAGTGTGACCTAAGGACCTCGTTCTGGTCTGTATTCCGTAATATCCGTAAATACCTGGTGGTTTATGTTCTTTGCTTGGTCTCTGAAATCGTCAGTGCCATTTTCTGGGTACGTGAACACTGCAGGAGACAGGAAAAAGCAGGAGCTTTATGAGTATGTTCAGCATGTTTTGGACACATGCTTGAAAGATGTGATTTTATTTATTCTCCGCACCATAGCTTCAGCTTGACCTCTCACTGCCTTTTCCTCATCCCCAGTGACCCAACTCTTGTGTCATCTTCCATGTGATGCTTCCCTGCCTCCCTTGGCAGCGGTCTGCACCACCCTCTCTGCAGACCCACACCGCTGTGCACACCTCCAGGCCGGCGTGCCCCCTCTTGCATCCCTTGGTCTCTTTTGGCAGAGTTGTTCTCAGGAGCAGACACCACATCATTCATCCTTGCTAAATGTATTGAATCATTTGTTAATGGGATGGTGGGTAAGGTATGCCTAGTTTAATTGTATTTGAATTTCCTTTCCTAAACAACACATTCTTTTATCTCTACTTACTATCTTGATTCTAATTCCTTTTCCTTATTATTTGCAGAGCAGTTTTATTTATTTATATACACACGTATATAAATAAAATGATTTCGTTAAGACCTGCAACACTTATTCTGGTATCTCTCTGAGCTGTAGTCTCATACATTTAATCTTCTTCCACCACTTTTTAAAAATTGAAGTACAGTTGATTTACAATGTTGTGATAGTTTCAGGTGTACAGCAAAGTGATTCAGCTATATATATTGTGTGTGTGTGTGTGTGTGTGTGTGTATATTTTTTTAAAGGGACTTTTCCCCAGCTGGATTGATTATGTCTTTTTTTTTTTTAATTGAAATACAGTGAGTTACAATGTGTCAGTTTCTGGTGTACAGCACAATGTCCCAGTCATGCATATACGTACTTAGATACATTTTCATCTCCTTTTTCATTAAAGGTTATTAGAAGATATTGAATATAGTTCCCTGTGCTATATAGAAGAAACCTGTTTTTTAAAAATCTATTTATAGTGGTTAACATTGCAAATCTCAAACTTCCAAATTTATTCCTTCCCACTCCCTTTCCCCTAGTAACCATAAGATTGTTTACTGTGTCTGTCAGTCTGTTTCTGTTTTGTAGATGAGTTCATAGTGTCCTCTTTTTCTTAGATTCCACAAATGATACCATACGGTATTTTTCTTTCTCTTCTTGGCTTACCTCACTTAGAATGATGATCTCCAGGTCCATCCATGTTGCTGAAAATGGCATTATTTTATTATTTTCATTGCTGAGTAGTATTGCATTGTATAAATATATCACAACTTCTTTATCCAGTCATCTGCTAATGGACATTAAGGTTGCTTGCATGTCTTTGCTATTGTAGATAGTGCTGCTATGAACACTGGGGTGCATGTGTCTTTTCGAATTAAGACTTCCCTCCGGGTATATGCCCAGGAGTGAGATTGCTGGATCATGTGGTAACGCTATTTTTTGTTTTTTGAGTAATCTCCATACGGTTTTCCATAATGGCTGTATATATATATTTTTTTCTTTTTCTTTTTCAGATTCAGATTCTTTTCCATTACAGGTTGTTACAAGATATTGACAACAGTTCCCTGTGCTCTACAGCAGGTCCTTGTTTTCTAGTTTCTTAATGGTATCTATAGTCTATCTTGCAGATTTAAGCTTTAGTCTTAAACTTCAGAGTATTTCCTTGATCTCTTATTGTCAATGTACTGGGGCTATTATTTGGGGAAAAAAATTAAATAGTGGTTTCTCATTTAGTTTGTTCTTGGCATATATAATTCTCTACCTTTGGCATTTAAACAGCCACTCTGTGGCCTTTGGTAAAGAAAACAGCTGCTTAAAATGGGCAGGGGTTTTCACTGTCCACACACACAGCAGTGGGAGGTCCCTGCTGGGTGTGGGGGCCTCTGCTGTCGCCAGTTCAGTCAGCCATATCTGCCTTGGAGACCAGCATCCCATATCTTCCTTAAACAAAAATAAAATGTGGCCAGTGTCTCCAAGTTGATACAACAGGGTTGTGGTGTTGATCTACCTTTTACAAGACTTGCCATTCAAAAATAACACATGCTGCTTTAGTCGTCCCTCTGGTGTCCCTTGAGAGTATCCAGGGAGTCAGCAGAGGAAGAGCAACACACCCGGAAAGCTCTGTCCCTACTGCAGTGAGTGTGCCGACAGTCTCCACGGTCCTCACAGTGGACTCAGTAGCCGTGGGCTGTAGAAAACCCGCTTCACATCAAGAGCCCCTGTCAGTGTCCCGATGCTTAGTAAACACCTGTTCTCCACGGTTTACAGTTCCAGAACCTGGGGTGCAATTCCATCATCCCTAGGAAGCCAGCATGCAGTCACTGAAGGAGCCCTGGATTGTAGGAGAGGGAAAACAAAGGCCTGATCCTGCAGACCTTGTGTGTCTCAGTATTTGGCCGTGTACCTTCCTGGATTAAACAGAGTAGAGACTAGCAATACTTTTCTCTGCTTTTATGTGACTACCTGAAATCCTGGCATAAGACTGATTCTTTAAGTATAAAACTGGATGCATTTAAAGAATACTGAATCCTTGAATGCAAAGAAAATCTTCCTGGAAAATTCTTGATTGGCATTAAAAGGGGAACTACATGAGGTGTGTATGCAATATTTAGTTTGACAGATTTTACAATTTTGTAATTTCATATTATTTTAGGTTTTTATTGACTACCCATCAGCCATCTGGTTCAAAGTGCGCACCATTTTTGTGAGCTATGCTGAAAATCATTTGAAGTGACTCCAAATGTGTTTTCAGCTATACGCTTGGAAGCAAAACTAGAACACTGCAAAAAATGATTTTTATAACCTATTCCTTCTGGCTATTTCAAAGACTTTGATTTGAAGGGAAAGGCGTTAAAAAAAAGAACTATTTCATCAAAAAAATATATCAGACACCTTTTATGTTTGGTGCTTTAAATTCATTTTATGAGAAATTATTTGTTGATTTCACCCAGGAAAACATTCAAAGGCTATGTCCATCATGCAGGCATATTTTCTAAGGTTACATATGCAAAATGAATCTTTAGTTTTTGCTGGTCCCCAAAGGACTCTCCTCTTTTCCTTTTCCATATTCTGTCTTTTTTCACTTTGTAGTCCTGGGAGGCCCACGTCTGCCTTGAGATGATGATTTGGTTTTTCCTCTTTCACCTGGTCATGTACAAGTTACATTTTCCAGCTTATCTGACATTGACTCAAATTTGCATCCCTGGCGTAAGTTCGGCTTGGTAACTGTGCAGTGCCTTTCTCCAGTGCATTACTGGATTCAGTGTACTAAGATGGTTTTGTTTCAGATTTCTGCATTTATATTTGAGAGGGAGACTAGCCAGTGATTTTCTTCCTGACACCGTCCTCGTTTGATTTTGAGGTCAGTGTCATACCAGCCCCATTAACTAAGTTAGGCAATGATGCTGCCCATCCTCTTGGGTACTTTTTGATGTCCTGGAAGAGCTTATGTAATCTGGAAATTTTATCTTCCTCAAATGTTTGGTGGAATTTACTTATAAAGTTGCCTGGAACTGGTATTTTCATTGTGCAAAAATTTAAAATATTGATTCCGTTTCTATCATAATTGGAAGCAGAGTCAAGTTCTCTGTTTCCGCTTGAGTCAGACTTTGGTCATGGGTAACTTCCTTGGCAGCTGTCCAAAGGAAAAGCTTTAAAAGTATTGTGTGAAGATGATCATAAGATTCTTTCCTCTCAGCCTATGTTATATTCTTCCTTTTAAAATGATTACTTTTTGTTTCGTCTCTCCCCTATTCTTAAAAAGTTGTTAGCAACTGCAAATTTTATTTTCCTTAAAGAACCATTCTTAGAATTTATTGACCTACCTGTGTAATTTAATAATTTCTGCTCTTATCTTTTTTTTTTTTTGTGGAGGGGAGGTAATTAGGTTTTTTTTAATTTTATTGTTATTATTTTTAATTGAAGTACAGTCACAGTGTGTCAATTTCTGGTGTACAGCACAATGTCCTGAACATACATGCATGTATTTATTTTCATTAAAGGTTATTGTAAGATATTGAATATAGTTCCCTGTGCTATACAGAGAAACTTAATTTTTTTTAAATCTATGTTTATATATAGTGGCTAACATATGCAAATCTCAAACTCCCAAATTTATCCCTTCCCACCCTGTCTCCCCCAGTAACCATAAGATTGTTTACTATGTCTGCAAGAGTGTTGATGTTTTGTAGATGAGTTCATAGTGTCCTTTTCTTTTTTTTAGATTCCATATATGAATGTTATGTTATTTTTCTTTTCCTTCTTGGCTTACTTCACTTAGAATAACGATCTCTAGGTCTATCCATGTTGCTGCAAATGGCATTGGGGTGCATGTATCTTTTCGAATTAGAGTTCCCCCCAGATATATACCCAGGAGTGGGATTGCTGTATATATGGTAAGTGTATTTTTAGTTTTTTGAGGAATCTCCATACTGTTTTCCGTAATGGCTGCACCAAAGGACATTTCCACCCGTAGTGTAGGAAGGCTCCCTTTTCTCGACAGCCTCTGTAGCATTTGTTGTTTGTGGATTTTTGAATGATGGACATTCTTGCTGGTGTGAGGTGATACCTCATTGTAATTTTGATTTGTATTTCTCTGATAATTAGCGGTATTGGGCACTTTTTCATGTACCTAATTGACTATTTGTATGTCTTCATTGGAGAATTGCTTGTTTAGGTCTTCTGCCCAGTTTTGGATTGGGTTGTTTGTTTTTTTTCTTAAGTTGTATGAGCTGTTTATGTATTCTGGAAATTAAGCCTTTGTCAGTTTTTGCAAATATTTTCTCCTGTTCCATAGGTTGTCGTTTTGCTTATGGTCTCCTTTGCTGTGCAAAAGCTTATATGTTTAATTAAGGTCCCATTTGTTTGTTTTTATTATTTTTAACAAAGGTACTAGGGATTGAAACCAGGACCTTGTGCATGCTAAGCACGCACTCTATCGCTGAGCTACACCTTCCCTGACTTCTGTTCTTATCTTTATTATTGCCATCCTTCTGCTTTCTTTGGGTTTGTTCTATTTCTTTTTCTGAATATGATGCTTAAGATTGTTACT